TTGAGCCACAGCACCACGTCTGGTTTATTGGAGATAAGAGTCTCACGAACTTTCCTGCCAGGGCTGGCTTTGAACCTCAATCCTCAGATCTCAGTTTCCTGAGGAGCTAGGATTACAGATGTGAGCCACCAGCACCTGGCTACACACACACACACACACACACACACACACACATTTTTGAAGGACATTCTTTTGGGACAGTATATTATGTCCCAGGTTAGAAAGAGTCTTAGAAGAGGAGTCTAAGGGACTGGTAGGAGCAGCCTGAGTGGTCTTTTGAGCTCCCAACCTGAGAGAACACTCTCTTGATCTTCTGTTCAGTATTGATGCAAGTCACGAAACTACCTATTTCCCTACCTTGCTGATCCAGCTGGGCCCTGCTGTAGTTCAGGTACCTCCGCAGGATTCCAGGACACTCTTCCTCCAGGTATGCCTTGGCCCGCTGCACATAGACCTTCTCTGCCTCCCATTTCTTCTTCGTTTCCTGGGCTGCTGTGTCCAAGGGAATCCAGGCTGGGATGTCTTTGTTGAATCTGATGAAGTCCTCTCCATCATACGCGTAACTCCAGAATGCTCCACTGCTTCCGTTACTCCAAAACTCGCAACCGAACCTGCCCTGGAAGGTGTGAGACCCTGATTCCTCCCCCACCCCACAGGAGAACCAGTCAGCCTGGGGCCAGCTGCCCCTGAAATCCCTCACTCTAGAAAAGCCTTAGAAATCTCGGCAGGCAACACTACCCAGCGCCGCCCCCTCCCCACACCACCCTGCCATTTCTCTTGGCAAATAGATTATCTGTAGGCAGAGGAGAAAACTCTGGGCAGTCTGAGATGGGACTGACTTCTTAGGGCTGGCTGGTTCAAATATCGAAGCAGGTGTTCACCGCACACCTGATTATTTGGTGTTGCCTCCTTAAACTCTCCAGGTTCTTGGGTTCCAAATCCTAGACTACCCCCTGCCCAGGCTGGCTGTTGTGTGAACTTGAATCTCATCTCTCTACACTTCACATTTCTTATTTCTGAAGTGGCAACAATAGCACTTTTCTTCTTTTCTTTGCTGGTCCTGGGGCTTGAACTCAGGGCCTGGGCACTGTCCCTTGAGCCTCTTTGTGCTCAAGCTAGTGCTCTACCACTTGAACCACAGCACCACTTCTGGCCTTTTTCTGGATATAAGAACCTCATTGACTTTTTTACCTGGGCTGGCTTTGAATCATGGCCCTCAGGGTCTCAGCCTTCTGAATAGCCAGGATGACAGGCGTGAACCACCAGGCATGAGCCACCTCCCTGAGGTGGTTTTGTTTTTTTCTCAACACTAGTGCTCTGCCACTTGAACCATAGCTCTACTTCCCCCTTTTTGGTTGTTCATTGGAGATAAGAGTCTTACAGATTTTCCTGCCCAGGCTGGCTTCAAACCACAGTCCTCAGATCTCAGCCTCCTGAGTAGCTAGGATTACAGGCCTGAGCACCCCAGCCCATCCCTCCTTTTGAGGGAGGTTTTCAGTCCATCCCATTGAACTGCTTGCCCTCATTGGGTAGACCTAACACCCTCCTGCCCCTCCCCCCCCAGCTATCTGCTGTCCACTGACCTTTGCTGTCCTGGTAATAATCCATGATGTCTCTCAGGGTCACCAGGAAGATCTCCTCTCTGGCTTTCTGAAGCCGGCTCTCCTCCTTCCAGTCTTCCATTCCTCTTACCTGGCCCCACAGGCCCAGGGGCTGTGCCTGCTGGCTCTCGCTGTCATAGTGGAAGACGGCCTGGTCATTGAGGAAGGCTAGGGACTGAAACCTGGGAAAGCCTTTGCTGGGCCTGGACACCCCGGTGTAGAGAAAGGTCAGAGCATGGTGAGCATCTATGGGAGAGAAGAGAACAAGAGCGAGGCTCAGCACGGCCTGGCGTCCACTCTGCTTCGGCCTCCCACCCCTGGGGCCTCGGTGCTCACTCCGTGGAGGTTTCCAGGCCCATGTCCTTGCTATACAGTTTCTTCTGCTTAGCAATGTAAGATAATATTTCACAGGTCAAGGTGGCTCAGAGCTGGAAGAATGGCTTCTTTTTTTTTTTTTGGTCCGGTCATGGGGCCTGAACTTTGGGCCTGGGCGCTGTCCCTCAGCTCTTCAGCTCAAGGCTAGCGCTCTACCACTTGAGCCACAGCACCA